GTCTGTTCATTCTTTTTACTTCAGTCCTTGTTACTTTAGGTAGACTGTGTTTCTAGAAATTTGTTTATTCTAGGCTTTCAATTTTTGGAGTATACTTTTTTATAGTATTGTATAATTATCCTTTTAATTTCTGTTGGTTCGATTGTGATGTTGCCCCTTTCATATCTTATTCATGTTATTTTCATTTTTCCTTTGTTTTCAGTGGTTTGTTGGTTTTCCTAATTCTATCAAAGAACCAACTTCTTTTTTGTTTTTGGTTTTTTATAAATCGTTTTATTGGGGGCTCTGACAGCTCTAACAATCCATACATCCATTGTATCGAGTACATATGTACGTATCTTGCCATTATCCCTTTCAAAACATTTTCTTTCTACTTGAACCCTTGGTATCTGCACCTCTTTTTTTCCCTCCCTCCCCCCTCCCACCCTGTGAACCCTTGATAAATTACAAATTATCATTTTCATAGCTTACACCATCTGCTGTGTCCCTTCCAACATTTCTGTTGTTCGTCCCCCTGGGGCTTGGGGGTGTTATGCATCAATCCTTGCGATCAGTTCCCCTTATCTCCCCTCACCTTCCCCCTACCCTCATAGTATCGTGACTTCCATTACTGTTACTTGGGGTGTTTATCTGTCCTGGGTTCCATGTGTCGAGAGCTCTTATTTGTACCAGTGTACATGCTCCAGTCTAGCCGGGTTTGTAAAGTAGAACTGGGGTCATGATAGTGGGAAGGAGGAAGCATTAAAGAACTAAAGGAATGTTGTGTTTCATCAGTGCTATACTGCACTCTGGCTGGCTTGTGTCCCTTCCTTGTGACCCTTCTGTAAGGGGATGTCCATTTGTCTACAGATGGACTTTCGATCTATACTTTGACCCCCCTCTGTTCGCATCAATATGTTTTTGGCCTTCTGATACCTGATCCTGTGACACTTCGTGATCACACAACCTGGTGTGCTTCCTCCATGTGGGCTTTGTTGCTTCCCTACTAGACAACCAGATGTTTAACTTCAATCCTTTAAGACCCCAGATGTACATCTTTTGATAGCCAGGCGCCACCAGATTTCTGCACTACATTTACTTATGCACCCATTTTGTCTTCACAGATTGGGTTGGGAAGGTGAGCATCACAGAATGCCAGATTATTAGAACAAAGCGTTCTTGTGTTGAGGGAAGAGGGAAGCAGAGGGAATGCCTGTCTGCTTCCTTAATACTTAACATATAAAAATATGTACATAGGTCTATATTCCTATCATTATATATGAATATATTTACATATGTACATACCTATATTTATACCTCTATAAATTCCCTTTGCCTCCTAGTTCTTTCCTCTATTTCCTTTTACTTTCCTCGTGTCCCACCATCATGTTCGACCATCATTCAGCTTTCAGTCATTTCTCTCAGCTACACTGCCCTTGATCAAACCCCACCAGGCACTCTATGCCCTCCTTGCCCCAACTTCCTGTTTTATTGATTCTATTGTTTTTGTTTTATTTATTTCTGTTCTAATCTTTATAATTTCTTCAGTGACTGTAGGCATATTCTTAATTTTGGGGAGATATTGGCCTAAGTATTATTGTTTCTTCCTTTTTGATGTGTATGTTTATTGTTATGAGTTGCCCTCTAAGCTCTACTTTTACTATGACCCAAAGGTTTTGTTACATGTTTTGATTCTCATTTGACTCAAGAATTTTTTTGTTTTGTTTTGTTTTTTTATATCTTCTAGTGTCAAATAGTTCTTAAACCAAACTCATTGCAATCAAGTTGTTTCCAACTCACAGTGACTCTGTAGGACAGGTCGAATTGCCCCTGTGGTTTTCTGAGACTAATTCTTTACAGGAGTAGAAGGCCCGGCCTTTCTCCCAATGAGTGGCTGGTGGCATAAAACTACTAACTTTGCCGTTACCAGCCCAACTCGTAACCCCTGTGCCATCAAGTCTCCCTTACTAGTTTTTAAATTGCATGTTATTCATTTTCCATGTATTTGATTTTTTTTTCC